TTTTAAAATAAATATTTATTAAATATTTATTTTATGAGCTGTGTAAAGATGTCATACAAATGAGATAACTAAAATTTTAAGTAAATTAAGTGAATTTAAAAAAATTGTAGAAGAATTTCTAAACTATAAAATTAAACAACAGAAAAAGATTAATGATAATTGTGACAATTGCACATTCACAAATAATAAAAAGTTGTTATTTTAACTAAAATTTTGAAGAATTTTAATTTATTTTTTCATTGGATTTAAAGAAGTTTGAAACACATGCATATAATAAGTAATGAAGAAAGAAAAATATGAAAAATGTATAATTAGTAAATGGTATATGATTATTAATATTTAAGATGGATGTAAGATGTACAAATTGATTCAATAAAATAACGCGTTTTGCGGCAATAATAAATTATTTATTATTATCTTGAATTATATTACACAGTTTGCTGAATCAGAATATTGTTATACATACATTACGTGCGCACTAAAATTTATAGTTTCTTTATGTAAAACTCCACATTTATTATCAAATAACTTTTTTATGCAAATATTAATTGTTTAGGACTATTATTTAAATTGCATGTGGTATTTTTTAATCTGTATTTAGCATTACACGCAGTGTTGTAAAATAGGACATTATGGTTGAACAGTACTGGAACATGTAAGAAAATCTAGTTAAATCCTTCGTTATATTATAAAAACAAATTTTTGATCTTTGAAGTACAAATGTTACATAATGAAAATCATGTGTTAACAAATATGCAAATAATAGCGATTTTTAATTAATTCAAATCTCTGCCTTTCTCTCACCGATGTTAAGTAATTAAAACTTATTGATGGAGTAATACATGGTACTGCAATCGTTACCACTTTTTGACTTCTCAACATGATAATTTGTAGAAGTTTCCGTATTTCATCAGATTGATTGTACCAGTGTGTATCAAAAGCAGCCTGAGAGATATCATTGCTCTCGGAAAAGTAATGAATATTAATTATTTATATTATAATTAGTTTAATGATTTTTTATAATAAGTAACTTACTAAGAAAATCAAACGTTCTGCCGGCCAAGCAAACATAAATACTTCTGCTAAACAAGCTAGAATCATAACGATATACTTGAACCTTAATAGCAGAGATTGATTCTGTTTAAAAAAAATTGTATATGCATTATTATTTCCATTGATATTTTAAAACTTAAAATTTTTAATTTATGTTATAGTAAGTAAAAATTGACCGAAAAATGTTCAACACAAATAATCAAACAAGCCACAACAAATATTAAAGCGAATTTGATAGCTTCAATTATATATAAATTTTTAATAAAAGTACGTTTTAGATAAATTTATGAAAAGAAACTTTAATTTTTAAATTATTGCATGTACTTACGCTAAGAAATGAAACACCAATTATTATTAAATTAATTGTGCTACAACATATACATGTTAATGCAAAACAACGAGCAACAATAATAATTTCTGTTATGTACCTGAATAAATACATTTTAGTTCTTAATATTTATGTTATCCAAATTTTTTTAACTAGATTACGAGCACATAAAAAATAAAGATTTTATATTTAAATTATTACTCACTCAAGTATTTTTTGATGTTCTTTAATACATTTGGCCAATTGATAGACATTTGTAAAAGTCCTCAGATCTTCGATTATTATTTCAAATCTTGCTGATGCAAACCACAGTAAAGTAGCCACGAAAGTATTTAAGCATAATTGTCCCGATACTATGAATGCGACTATAGCTTGATATACGTAGATAATTGTTCTTAAAGGTTCATAGTATACATCGAACGGATATTCGGTTAACATTGGAAATGGTTGATGTACTATGGAAGCTACCGTGCAGGCTGCTACCACAATAAAATAAAAAATAACTGAAGACACACCATAGAATGCGGCATATTTATCAATGTACCGTTGAATCACAACTTCTTCACGTGGTTTCATCGAGTCGCAAAAATATTCCGCTTCAAAAGCAATATTCTGTAAATATAGTTACATATTTACGCGTACGTATACGTGCACACTTACGTGTGCACATATATGTACAGGGTGTCCGCAATTTTTGACCAAGCGCTTTTGTGTAAATAAAGCGGACTGAACTGTTAACAAGATATTAATTACAATAGTTAACAAGATATTAATTACTAAAAATCGCTAATTGGTTTTAATAATTTTTTACTCAAATACTATCAACTTTATAAAAAAATAGCAAGAGACAAAAATTGTTTATTTTCTTTTTATAAAAAAAGTTCTGAGAATTTTTTAATACCGTATTTTTTCTATTGGTAAAAGTCATTGCCAATAAGAAAATGCAGTTATAAAAAGTTGATAAAAAATTCTTATAGCTCTATGAAAAGAAAATAAATAATTTTTGTTTCTTGTGTTTTTTTGTAAAGTAATATTCGCTAAATAATAATCGAGTAAAAAATTATTGAAGATTAATATTCGGCAAATTTTTATTAATTAATATCTCGTTAACTATTGCGAAAATTGCAAAATGATAAAGGACTTTTCGACTCAGTTTAGTCTGTTCTATCTACAAAAAAAGCGTTTGGCCAAACATTACAGGACACCCTTCATATATATATATATATATATACGAGTATATACTCGTATATATATATACACAGTATTTACATTGGATAAGTGTGTGTATACACTCGGTTATCTTTTTAAATAAAATTAAAGAAAGTTTTTAAATAAAAATTGTTTTGTTTAAGAATAACATAGTAATTACTTTTTTTATTAAACAGTATTTTATTGGAAGTATTTTATTTTTTTGCTCATGTCTAGAAGAGCAATACAAATGACAATTTTATTATATTATAAATTTTATTATAAATTTGCAAAAAAATATTTTACGGAACTATAATAAAATAGATCTATTGTTTCATTTAAAAGATATAACTGCTACTAGAAAACATTTAAAAGAGAATGTCTTTTGTTTTAGTTATTAGATCTTTTACTAAATTTTATTTATATGTAATTTTAGATTAATTAAATTTTATTCATATTTTTTAATGGTTTTCTTATTTAAACACACACACAGATAACTGAGTTGTGAACACGTAAATTAAATACACATATTATGCTTATAGATAAATTGTAAAATTCTTTAATGTAAAATATATTAATATTAAGTACTTGTATGTGATGATAATTGACTTTGTGAAAGATGAAATTACATATGGCGTGTAAAATAGGGGCTTGTTGAACAACTAATTCAACGAACATAGCAAAATCGTTAATATGAATTGTGGTAGTATATATCAGTGATGCTTCCAAGCTAATCGCTAGAATAATGCACAAATTTTGATACAGTTTCATACAGGTGATTTTAAACTTTGTTGTGTCCTTTGGCATCGGCCAACTCCATGTTATCCATAAACTTAACTTCACGCCGGAAATAACTTTTTTGAAATTCAACTTCTCCGACTTTTTCGACTTTTGTAGCATGACTATACTATGTACATATATTATACACGTATTCTAACGATGAGAATAATCTGAATAATGTTGTAAA